AATGCAGGACCCTACCCTTGGCTCTATTGAAATGCAAGCAGTTACTTGAGGGAATGTTCCGAGGTTGTTTTTTCCCGATCAGTCTCTGCAGTGGGCATCCCTTTAGATTCCTGGGGATCCGAGTGCCTCACTAATCCTGGCAGTGTGTTCTACCCAGCAGAGCAAGAGGTGTGTCTCTAAAACTATGTATTTTGTATGTTGGTGAATCTGGGTTTTTCTTGTTTTTCATACCTGCTGGCCACAGTCTGTGTTGTCATGCTGTGGAAGAACTACAGAGAATTTGTTTTTCAGATTAGTTTCTAGAGATGATGGTTGAATATGATGTGTGTCAGGGTGTTTTAAACAGTGTTGTTAGTTTTGGTTTACCAGCTTCATTGAAATGAAATGTGTTACCTCATGGTAGACTTGCAACAAATACATTTAGGTGACAATATTTTAATAGTTAACACAGGAAGTATTTTGTACCAATGTGCAATAAATATTGCGTATGGTTGGTTTATTTAATTTGGATGAAGACAACTGTAATGGTGTTAAGGTTATTTCATGATGACAGCACTAGAGCTGTCTACAGTGGGATTACAGAAACCATGAATCTTTTTTTGTACCTAAAGTTGGTTTGTCTTTCTCAGTGGGGAACATATTAAAGAGGCAGATTTCTTTTAAAATTCTCATCTTCTATTATTTTTTAAATGCACAGGAAAAAAAACAGTCAAGTGTAGCATTAAAGCAATTCTGTCTGTTAAGCAGTTCTGTATGGACAGATTTGTTTTTATTTGTTTGAACCATATTTTAAATAGAACATAAATTCTGTAAATAGTGGAAGAAGCATGAGACAGACAAAACATCTTTAATGAAAGCACTCAGCCTTTTTCGTGCTCTGAATCTACCTTTATTATGTTAATAAATTCTGTGCTGTTCCCAGCAGGGGTATGTGAAAATTATCTTTTCAAATAAATGAATACAGATTATTTACTGCATATCAAGAAACTGGTTATAGGTCTTTGATCTTTGTCCTGATACAGATGTAGATCTGAGCAGTTACTGAGTCACTCTAACTTGTACAAGTCCCCTTGCCCTCCTAGATGGCTGGGTGCGAGGTGCCCAGCAGGTGTCCCAGCCCTTGCCCTTCGGGCACCCAAGGCTGGAAACTTGCTTTAGGTTCCCGAGATAAGCTCAAGTCCATTCAACCTCAGCGCTCCTAATACAGTTCCATTTCATAATGTCTCCAGGGTACTGTCAGGCGTTCTTTTGGGAAGAATGAAGTGCGTATCATTGGGGCTGGTGAGAGGAAGTGAGAGAAGTCTGAGTTACTTGTACTTCTGGTTTATTTACCAATACCTTACAGGTACATAGTTAGACTTAATGAGCTCTTTAAATCATGCCTCCTCATCAGAAGTCCCGCTAAAATAGTCCAAGTTGAGTGCAGTGAAGCTGAGAAACAGCCGCTAGGAAAGCTAGAAAAAAAAAGTTTGCCACTCTTCAGTCTACACAATATTACTCTCTTTGTTTTCTCTGTGTATTATGACCATAAGAGTTAAATACCACATTTTCTATCTTAATTAGTTGACTCCTCACTAATAAAGTCTATTAAAAGTTAGAAATTGTGGGGTTTCTGTGAGAACAGTATATATGCAATTCTATGTTTTGTTTCAGGATAATGTTTTGAACATCATAAATCAAATCATGGATGAATGCATTCCACATGAACGGGCCAACCGAGACTTTTGTGTTAAGTTTCCAGAGGAAATACGCCATGACAACCTTGCAGGACAGCTTTGGTTTGGAGCAGAAGTAAGTCTCATATTTCTGTTACTCGGGGTTAATGGATAATTTTTTTGTGGCATAAAGCCAGAAATATGTCTTGAGGCTTTGCTTAAAATGGTACATATAATTAGAGAGCAAAATAAACATCTTTTGATAACTCCCTTCTCATGCTCAGTGAAAGGGGATTCTTTAACTATGGTTTAGGTATCAGTTAGGCTAACAGCATATCGTTTTATTTTCATGAGTGTCTACTATCATTATGACCACCTCTTAAAAAGTATTCTTTTGTGAATTAGCATCTAGTTAATGTTACCAAATTCTTTTAACTTCTTTTATATTGATGGACTGTTTCTCATCTCATGCTTTGAAAATCTTAGACATAAAGAGAGATATATTTTATCGCTATAAAAGTTTATCTCCAGCAAATGTAAGTGCATGCTGTCACTTCATTTTAATCGCTGTATTGTGGTATAGCTCATATTAAACGTACTAACTTGAAGCTGACACTCATTGCACGTAACTCGTTTGATGTGTATGCTACAATTATAATGGTTTCTGTGCAAAGCAAAACACTGAGGTCTGCTTTTCTCTTAACTGGTTTCTCTTGAAGACCTGCTTCTACAGCACTCTAGGTACAAGGTATCTTTGCAGTGAATAAACTTTCATTATTTTAACCAAGGGGAGCCTGAAGTGTCAGAAAGAATGGTGATATGTAAGGTACTTGTTCATTAGTACCAGTATCTGTTGGCTAGAAAAAAAATTTTAAAAAGTGTCATCTTTAATGATAAGCTTTGTGTTTTCAGGTCTTCTGGCCTGAAGTTAACTTTAAGCACTGTGGATTTATTGAGAGTTGAAGGAGGAGTAGTCCAGACATTGCACCACACAACAACATAATGTGTTACTGTTCTCAGCTTTGCCTCTCCTGTATTTAAAGCAATCTCTCAGCTCGGCTCCTGTTACCCATTCTTTTCTCTCCCAGTTCCTCCTTTCTTTTTGAAGTGCCTGCTTTCCCTCAGTAGTTCTTATCTGTCTGGTTCAGTCCAACATACTTCCATATGTTCTGTTTCTGAATCTTCCTTTGACGGTTGTTAACTGTAGGCTCCTCTGAGTCAGGAAAGTCCTGGGTAGATTTTACAAAATGAATTTCATATGTCGGTGCTTTATAATCCTTTCCTCGGCAGAAGTAGCAGCATTTTTTTCTTCTCATTATGACATGACTTTCACTGCTGCCATCCAGGTGATGCCACGCTCTGTTTTAAAAAGCTGAGTCTGACACATTGGCTTAATGGTGCTACCTTGGTAGTTGGTGTAGGAGAAGATGGAGTAATTCTTTCTACAATAGTGAATCCCTGTGAATCCCATTATACTTTCCTACTCAAAGGGAGTAGCAAACCAGGCAATGAACAAACAGGAACAATGTTAGTCAATACAGTAACAACTTCTTGTATTTTGGAGAAAAGTTTGAGGGAATCACTGAAACAGCCAGTATCTTCCAGGAGAAAAATGGCCTCGCTTTAGTCACTGTTTGTGTGTAATGTAAGCTAATGCTTTTACTCTTTCCAAATCAAACTTCCTCTGTCTCCACATCAAAAGTGAAAGTAACATATGCAGTGATGAAGTAATGCTACCTCATACTGTCCTCCTGTAAATTCATGTAGTAAGGAAGACTGTAGGGACTGTTTTCAATATACACTTTTGTGCTATTATCAGTGCAGTTGCTCTGAGTTATGAGACTAAGGGTACCTGTCAACAGGTAAGACTTACTCATACTTTCCCACAAATACGGCTTTGGCTGTTAAGAGTTATCTTCTCCGAGTGCCCTTAAAACATGAATCGGTGCCTCAGGCTGCTGACCAAGGGCTGGGATTGCAGCTGCTCCATGCAGAGCTGCAGAAAAGCCTCCCATTCAGCAGAGTGCAGAGGAGGGAGGAGGGATGCAGTTTTGAATGGAGATTTAAGAAAATAAAAAAAGAAGGAAAAAGTAGACCTTTGAGACTAGAACAAGCTTGTGTATTTTCAGTTGACAAAAAAAATTCCATTGATTCAGAAAGTGTGATTTATATCAGTGCTTGTTGTCTTCCAAATGTATCCATAAAGGAATAAAGCCAGCAGCAGAGATTATTAGATTGTTCTTAACAGCAAGATTTTTTAAAAGTTTCATTGATGTGCTACAGTTAAAATCTTTTCCTCTCTTTCTGAGCTGGTCGGAGGGAGTCCATGTGTAAGTCTCAGGGCAAGAAGTCTTTTAAATAGCTTATTGCCAGAAATTGAATGGGAGCATTCACTCCGTGACCTGTTTTTTTATGTTCTTTCCTGTAAAATATATTCATGGCTTCTGCAGAAGGCAGGATACTGGTCTAGCTGGACCCCTGGTCTGATAGCCTGTGTGACCAGTTTTATTGCACAAGGCATCGCAGTTGCAGGATTTTTGTTCTTTCTGTAAGGAACAGGTTTATTTTACAAAGCTAAGCAGTGCAGCCTGAATCAAAACAGTCAATTGGTACTACTTCAGCTGGATTCACATCCCACTTTATGCAAGCAATTCTTCCATACCTAGAGTGTATGTCCTACCAATAGTGATTGCTCAGCTTGTGGGAGAAGAGAATTTTAAGTACTTCTGTCAGCTCTGTGGTTCTTGTACTTGAACATCTCCCTGTTCTCATGTCTTCCTGAGCTGCTCTTTAACCTTTCCTGACTCCTGGCGTATCAGTCTCAAATCTGCCACTTATTTAATAATTTGCCACAAATTGAGGCTAAGTGCTGCCTTCGTTCAAAGTGTTAAATATCACATCTTCTTTTTTGTAAACATAAAACTAACTTTTTAAAATAATATTTTTCTCTATATATATTTCACAGTGTTTGGCTGCTGGTTCAATTATTATGAATCGTGAAATTGAGAGTATGGCTATGAGGCCATTGGCCAAGGATCTGACCAGAAGCCTAGAGGAGGTTAGAAATATCATTCGTGACCAGGCCTTAAGGGATTTGAACCTCTACACGGAAAAAATGAAAGATTCACTCAAGCATTTTGATGTCCTGTTTGCTGAATTTGAATTAAGGTAAAAGATCTGAAGTAAATGAGTTGTGACTTCTTCGCTTGGCTACTATAGCTGTTGGTGGCTTGTTGGATTTTGGGAGTTGTCTGGTTTGTTCTGTTTTCTTTTTATGGAAAAAAGTATGTAATTTTTTTGTCATGGTATTTGAATTTGTCAGAAGTTAGTTGTATTGTTAGATTTTTATTTTTTTTCCCCTTCCAGTGCAGCAATAATGAAAAGAAAATTAAATAGCTTTTTAGCAATCAACATTTGCTCTCTTCAGCTAATCTCCAATTTGCATACTGGCATATGGTATTTGAGGATGATTTTCCAAGACACACAAGGAAGCCAAAAATCTTTTCTCTTATTGCTTTCTTCGTTGGGGGAAAGGTGACAAATTAGAGACATCTAAAAAAAACCAAAACACAAAAAAGCCCCTAAAAACCATGGTAACAAGTAGTCTGGATACTATAATGTTTTATTTTGATGTGCTTAGAGATACCAGCAAGATGTGCAACCAGTGAATTTGAGAAGGTAAATAGAAATCTGATGAAGGAAGTGCTTTTATCCGAGTGATAATTAACCACAGGAACTCACTGATTTAAAAACTTGTGATTGGAAAAGTAACTGCTTTTTGGGTGAGAAAAGTAACTCCTTATTGCATCAAATGTCACATTGCCCAAGACTTGCATTGTGCTTCATAATTTAAGACTGCTTGCTACATGTCTGTTACATGTTTGTGATCCTGGGCATAGTTACAGGCAGGATACTGGTCATGATTGGCTACATTGTATTAAATCCATAGATATTCCTGCACTCAGCAAAACAGGTTTCTTAGAACTGAGTAGTATTTCATTTTTTTCTCAGGACTAATCTGTAGACTGTCTTGTCTCCTATTTCTGTTTTCCTTTCCTCAGTATTCATATTCACTTGTATTTTAGTCAGGTAAACATTTATTTTTTCTGATTCAAAACTCAATCATTATACTGTTATATTGAAAAACATTTTAATTGAGAACACTGGCTAAAAACATGTTTTTAAGTTTGCCTTTGAGTGCAGACACTAATGACAATCAGTAACTGGTTCTTGATAGGACCTGTGCGCAGTCTCTGGGCTGTCCATACCAACTCTACATACAGCATTTTTCTTTGCCTTTTGCAAACAACTCTTTACTGTGTTACCTGCAGTCTATGGGCCAACTTTTAAGTCTATTTGTCTCTGCTGGATAACTGAATTTCACTAAAAACAATTTCAGGTAAAACCTTTCTAAATAAAATGTACATTTCAAGGGTTTTTTGTGTGTTTTTTTTTCTAAAGAAAATGCAGACTAAACTACTCTGCCCTCAAGATGCATTAGGAAAGATCATGCCAGGACCTAACTCCATGTGCCACACAATATGGAGATCTGATTGCTAAATGTGTGGTACCATATTTCTAAATTACTACTGAGTTCCACTGCCTCAGTCTGTAATAAGTAAATTGGCTGCATTTCTTATGCGGGCACTCTACGATTTCTGCAGCGAGTGCTGTCGAAACAAGTACAAAATGGTACAGGAAGGATTAGGTTTCTAAGATGATACGTCCAAAAGTTTGCTTTTCTTTATAATCTGATTCTTAAGTAGGATGTTATTTTATAATCTTTGTAGTTATGTGTCAGCCATGGTACCTGTGAAGTCTCCAAAAGAATATTATGTACAGCAAGAGGTAATCGTTCTTTTCTGTGAAACTGTGGAGAGGTAAGCATTTTAGTTAAATACTAGAGTTTTCATTTGTATTTATTTTCAGTCTGAGCTTTTGTAGGAACACTTTGACTGTACTCTTAAAGAAGCATCATAGAGCACCAGGTATTGTGCTTTTTTAGTAGGTGTCCAAGTACAAAGTTAAAAAGCATTAAGCATGCTTGCCAGGCACAAGCCTGTGGTTTTTTTTTTTGTTTTCTAGACTAAAAAACCCCAAACAACCCCAAAGTTAACAGTCCAGCATTAACAGTATTTTTGGCATGTGTAGTTATAGATGTCTAAGTGAAGACTAACCATTTAAATAAGCTAGATCATTTTAAGGCGTCAAGACTTAATGATATTTCATGCAAGAATACACAAGGAGATGATTCAAATCATCTGTAAACCTCTAGTGATTATCATAAAGAACTTGTAAAGGCTCTTTAAAATCCTAGAGGACTGGAGCTTGATTTTACGTGTATGAAGAGATAATGTTTAAAAAAACCCCAAACAATCCAGTGATTCAAAAGTTCTTTTAGGAGTATAAGGTGATAAGAGAAATGTGAATTTGTTCATGATGTACTGCTAGTGGGCTGCACGCTGAGTTCTTCTGGTGTCAGCACAAAGCAGTGCTTGCCCTGTGGTCGTTTTGCTGTCCACCACCAGCTGTATGGGCAAGGCAAGTACTGACAAGGAAGAAGAAAAAGCTGTTGCCATTCTTTTTGGGACCAGTCAGATCTCAGCTGGACTAGTGTGCACACTGATGTGGAACAACTGGAGAAATTTGAGCGTGTTGTGAAACTTAGGAGGAGATTAAGAAGTTGTGAAGAAACCTGAGAAACACAGACCAGTGAAAAGCCTGAAAAATGGGGTTTTAGTCTAAAAGGGGCTTAAGATATTTGAAAAGTTATTAGAGGACAATGAAGTGTCCCCTGAATATTAAATCCGTAGACTTCAGTAGTATTAGCTGTATGGAACTGGGTTATTCTTTTAGTTTGGTTTGTTAGTTTAGGGGGGAGTTGACTGAAATGACAAGTTTTATTTGAAAGTGAAATTGAATACTTTCCCTTATTACTTTAAAAACTCTAAGCACCAGTGGTTTTCAGTAACAAGATGAAGCTTGGCATGAAATAGTAAATAAAAAGGGAAAATAGCATAATAATTATTGTGGATTTGGGTGACTATAAAAGCTTTAAGTTTTAAAAATCCCAAAACTTTAAACTTTTTTTTTTAAGCAGAGGCTACAGCAGTCAGTTATATATGTAGTGTTTTAGATTGTACAAAATAGTTTGTGAATTAAATACCATTAATTTGGTTTGATTTTATAACACATTTCAACAGGAAAAAAATCTAAAAATACAATCTTTGAGAATTTGATCTCTTACTAAATAATGTTTTTCTGCTTAGAGCCTTAAGGCTTGGATACCTCACTCAAGATATGATAGATGACTATGAACCAGCTTTAATGTTTACAATTCCAAGATTAGCCATTGTATGGTAAGTAAGTTTTCTGACTGTTCTCCACTCTACCTCATTTAAAGGTGCACTGGAGATTTCAAAAGTATGTTCAGAATTTTGACATATTTTCTTTCACTGAAGTTTCCTTGTACTTTCTGTAAAAAAAAATTAAGACTGCGTTTTGTTTTTTACGGTTTCATGTAATAGAAATATACCAGAATATCAAGAGGAAAAAAATAAAACATGGAACTCTAAATATAGATAGCAGGAACCTGTAACAATTGATCAGTCATCCTCCAGAAATAAATTAAAAAATTGAGAACACCAATCTATGGAATGTCATGTTGTCAGAAATATTTTTTGAAAGCATGTATTTTGTGTCACTCAAAAATAATATGACCTAAGGATACAAGTCTTGAAAACCAAAAGTTTTCAATTGAAATTGTGTATTTTTCTTAACGACCCTAGATTTGAAAGGAATTGTCATGACAAACTGCATTGTGACCATTGAGGCTTAAATCTTTTTCAGGGAAAGTATTAACATGCATAACTTGTGTTCAAATTTGAGCCTTGTACCTACCACTCAAGACAATTCAACTAAAACAGTACTTTTGCTTTGTACAGAGTTTGCAATACTGAACAAATCAGATGCATTTTTCCTAATGAGTCTTCATGATTTAATAGACCAGCAGTTTCTCTGGAGTAAAGGCAGCATATTTTTAATATTTTACCATTGTGAATGCTTTCAAGTTAGCTAATATAAATAGTGTAATTGAGGGAAATAAGAAACTTCAAATCCTGAGTGTAATGCACTTCTCCTCAGGAAATCCCTGTGGCCCATTGTTTCTGTTAAATAGGATATTGTTTGTAACTGTCATTCTAAAAATAATAACGGTAGTAATATGATTATCAAAAGATAATGAGAATTTGAGAACTTGGTTTGAAGCTTCTGGAAGCTACAATAAAGAATAGATGCTGATTAGCTGAAAGACCAAGGGCTCTCTGGCAAATACACCATATCAATCCCAAATTCAAGAAGGACAGAGGGAGAAGAGAAAAAAAAGTTTTACAGCTCCTAAGTATCCAGTGATTTGAAGAAAATTCACTGACATGTGAAGTTCCACAGAAAAACTATGCCATCCGGATACAGTTTTGCCTGTAGGAACTGCAACCCTTTTATCTGGACTGTGAAAGGAGAAACCTTTAAATGCAAGTCAGGTGCCAAGTGGGTCGTGCTCTTGACTCTGTAAATGAGAGGGATGGGTCTGGGGAAAAGAGAAGTGCTGGATCCCCTCGATCCACTCCTAGCAAAGCTCTAGGCAAAACTGCCCAGGGAGGTGGTTGAGTCGCCATCCCTGGATGTGTTCAAGTGTCGCTTAGATGTGGTGTTGGGTGATATGGTTTAGGGGTGAACTTGTAGTGTAGGATTGATGGTTGGACTCGATGATCCCAAGGGTCTTTTCCAACCTGAATTGATCTGTGATTCTGTGATTTTTATCTAAGATTGCTCTTCAGGTGTTGATTTACCATACACATTATACAGTCTGTGTTGCCTGATATGTTAACAGGTGTCTGAACTTTGACCTTAGAAAAGATGAAGACACACTCTTTTTCCGATTTATAGTTCTTTCCATGTAGCAACTCTTCAAGCTTTGATTCAGAACTCTTTCAAAGGCTGTACATATACAGAGGCCATTTCATAATTGGTTTTTTGTAGCTCTCTAACCCATTTCTATTTCTTTCATTTCTTCCGAGTTAAGCTTCATGGAGAACAAACTATACCTGAAAGCCAAATGAATGGTGATTTTGCATCGATTAGAAGTTCGGTGAGAGCAGCCTCAAGCTTCCACTGAGCAAAGTAACGTTCATTTAGACAGAACACAGGGCATGAATCAGCAATAGCTGCTTTGCTTCGTGGCAGCCTGCTTGTTCAAGCTCAGAAAGCTTAAAAAAAAACCCCACAGTATGTATCCTTGGTAACAGGATAATTTGTCTCAAGCCACCAGAAAAAAGATGATTTGCAAAAGAAGCAGCATTCTCTCCCATCCTATTGCACTGCTTCTGCCATCAAAATCCTAATCCCCAAAGCAATGTTAATTAAGTTTAGTGGTTGTATTTCTTGGACCCTCTGTACCTTGACAATTCTGAGCTTTCTGATGGTCATCGTCCAGCCTGATGGGAGACTACCCTGGTAGCAGGGCATAAGCCAGACTCTGGGTTTAAAAACAGAAGAGCAGTGTTTCCCAGATAATAAACAGAAGTGGGAGTTTTGTTTGTTAAATATGTCAGTGGTATTCACATATCTTGCTGTTGGCTTTGGTGCTGTGTCTCAGAGCCTTCGGTGGTCACGCAGGGTTCTTGCTAGGGAACAGCTGATGGGCAAAAGATATCAACAGACATCTTGTTAGTCAGCTGAGGGTCTACATTGCTCTGGATAATTTGGATGCAGAGTAGCTAGAAAGCTCTCTGAAGAAACATGTAATTACAAAATTTAATTTGGGTGTAAGAAAAGGAACTTATCTTTTGAAATGCCTTGGGCAACTAAGCACTAACTGTAGAGGCAGGAAGGGGAATATGGCCTGGGAAAAATAGAACCTGTATAATCATAAGTGTGAAAATGTGTGATCCATTTTTATTTTTTTTTAAGAGACATACTGTGGTTTTGAAATGGGCAGAGGATTACACAGTTTTAAGAAGGATGATACCTGGTGTGGGTGGAAGTCACTCTCAGATGTAATGCGGTGTGATACAGCAGATATGGTCAAAGTGAATTTTGTTTAATCTCTGACACACAAACAGGTTTGGGCAATAGTAATTTGATCAGGAGCATATACTGAGATTGTCTACAGAGAAGTACACGGAGGCTATTGAGATTGTGAACTAACCTCTCTCCAGGGAAGTTTCTGCAAGTGCTGCCTAGATTTAGAGTCATGATATTATCAAAATAGGTTTTATGTGATTTAGTAAATTTCTGGTTTACTACTTGTTAATATCAGTTTGTATTCATCTTAGATGTAGAAAAATAGAAGCTGGAGTGTCACCTATCTTACCTTGAAGTTATTTAGAGTGTAATGAAAAAGCCATTTGCAGTCTCTCAAGTCTCTCTCCCAACTTACTTGATAATTGGTCTCACTGGTTGTTTTCTTATGGATCACCCACAGCAACGAAATATACATTCCTCCCCTTATGTTCCATTGCTTTTTCTCCCATGTTTAAGGGGTGGTGAACAGAGGAGAGGGGATCATGTTCCTGTTAAATAGCATTTCATTCTAACTGTGGGTGAATAAGACAAAAATAAGTAAGCAGTATGTTTCTGTACATCTACTTTTCTGAGTTGTCATTGAGTAGTTTCTCTGTGTAATGAAATATTCATACTTGTGTGTGTTTGTGCATGTGTTTGAATTATAGTGGCCTTGTTGTCTACTCTGAGGGACCTTTAAACTTGGACCATAAACCAGAAGACATGTCTGAACTCTTCAGACCTTTTCACACTTTGCTAAGAAAAATAAGGCAAGTAATAAAAGATGGTTGTAATGGCTGCTGTTCTGAACTGAAAAGCCTTAAAAAGAACTCACAAATGCCTAGAAAAGTGTTTGTTTGCTATGTTAACCATAAACCGTGGGTTTCTCTCATCTGCCTGATACACCCTTGAAGTAACTAAATGCAGTTTATAGTTTCATGGGAGTTTGGGGAACTTTTCATATCTTTGTGATTTTGGTTTTTTGTAATATAATTTTATTACATTTCAGATTTGCCTTATGGTTGGATGATGCCCGAAATACTAAAGTTCTAGTGTATTTTTGGGAGATCCTGTTTCTAATTAGCATCAATGTTTCTGTTTAACTAGGCTTATTACATTTTCTCATTACTTTATGATGCAATACTCAAATCATTCTTAATCTAATAGGAACGACTATCGGTTTTTCATACCGTGGATCTGTTTTTACAGAATGGATCACTTTCTATATACCTCTTTTCACAGTGCTTCAGTCTTGGTAACCATTGGAGATGTGGGCTTTGGCTCAAGTATAAAGAGCATTAATATTTTTTTTTTCAGTTGAGGTTTCTGGAAGACTGATCTTGGAGAAATCAAGCTGTGTCTTTAAAGGATCTTTATATTGATTTTCACCATTAATGGTTTTTTTTTTAAATCTGGGTGTTAAAGAAACCCTGTTCTCTAAATCCATAAACCTATTATTTTGTTAAAATTCAAATTTATATGCTGACTGCAAATTTTATTCCTAGAAACCTCCAGAGATAACTCGTCAGTTTTAATTTCTTGTGTCCAGTTTTTACCTGTTTATCACCTTCCCTGTATGTCATGACGATGGTTTGATGTAAGAATAATTTTCATGTGGTTAAGTTTATTCAGAGTAATGTCCTCTTGTCTGTTAAAGGTGAGGCATCTCCTGAGGGAGAATACAAGCTCTGTCAGGGATAGTTCAGAGAGGAACCCACTTGTGAAGTTAGCTTTTATGGATAGCCCAACCACATCCTTTTGTGTCACTTGAAGACTTCCTAGTATTTTTGTCTAAAAGTGATACGGTTTTGGTTTTAGGTGCATTAATGATTAGAATTAAATTTGAGAAATCAGTATGTTTGGGGATTTCTTGAGTAGTTATGGTTTTATAAAAAACTTGGTAAAGAAGAATGTGAATCGAAGAGCAAAGCTGAAGTTACAGAGGAAAAAAAGCTTTAAGAGTACTGAAAGTCTATGCGATTTATGTTTAAATTTACATTTAAATTTACATTTAAATACCTTAATTCCAATTGTTTGTTCAATAACTGCAATTTTCAATGCAAACTACCAAAAATTGAAAAGAGCCTTTCAGACTCATTTTTGGAAAAGAGTTCTGATATATTTTAAGACACCTATTCTGTTAAGTGAGCATTAAGAAACGTGATTTCAGTTGTCTAGCAGAAAAAGCTTGCACAGTGTTCTTGGTGAGTGTGCTGGTTTCGACTGGGTTAGAGATTTTCTTCATAGCAGCTGCGATGGGACAAGGTTTTGAATTTGTCCTGGAAACAGTGTTGGTAGGACAGGGATATTTCTGTTATCGCTGAGCCATGCTTGCAGTCAAGGCCTTTTCTGCTCTTGCCCTCGCCATTGAGAAGGCTGCGGGTTTGGAGGGGACACAGCTTGACCAAAGAGATATTCCATAGCATATGCCATCATGCTCAGCGTAGAAAGCTGGGGGAAGCAGGAGGAAGGGGGAGGATGTGTGGAGTGATGGCATTTGTCTTACCAAGCTCTGCTTTCCTGAAGATGGCTGAACACCTGCCTGAATCACAGAATGTTAGGGGTTGGAAGGGACCTTGACAGATCATCTAGTCCAACCCCTCTGCCATGGGCAGGGACAATCTCCCATTAGATCAGGTTGCTCAGGGCCCCTGAGAAGAGCCTGGCTCTGTCCTGCTGACACTCACCCTTTACAGATTTATAAACATTAATGAGGCCACCCCTCAGTCTCCTCCAAGCTAAAGAGACCCAGCTTCTTCAGCCTTTCCTCATAAGGGAGATGTTCCACTCCCTTCATCATCTCTGTGGCTCTGTGCTGGACTCTCTCCAGCAGTTCCCTGTCTCTCTGAGCTGAGGGGCCCAGAACCGGACACAATATTCCAGATGTGGCCTCACCAGGGCAGAGTAGAGGGGCAGGAGGACCTCTTGTGACCTTCTAATCCATCCCAGGATGCCATTGGCCTTCTTGGCCACGAGGGCACATTGCTGGCTCATGGTTATCCTGCTGTCCACCATGACTCCCAGGTCTCTTTCCCCTACGCTGCTCTCCAGCAGGTCAGTCCCCAACCTCTGCTGGTATTTGGAATTGTTCTTTCCCAGGTGCAAGACTCCACACTTGCCCTTGTTGAATTTCATAAGATTTCTCCCTGCCCAGCCCTCCAGCCTGTCCAGGTCTCTCTGAACGGCAGCACAGCCTGCTGGTGTGTCAGCCACTCCTCCCAGTTTTGTGTCATCAGCAAACTTGCTGACAGTGCTCTCTGTTCCCTCATACAGGTCGTTGATGAATACATTGAATAGTACTGGTCCCAGTACTGACCCCTGAGGGTTTGCTATACCTTGCTTTACCTATTAAACTGTGTTTATCTCAACCCATGAGTTTTCTCACTTTTACCCTTTCAATTTTCTCCCCTATCCCACTGAGAGGGGGCAGTGAATGATTGACTATATGGGCTTTAGATGCCAGCTGGGGTTAAACCACAACAGTGAGATAGTATCTATTAGAGCAAGTTAAGATATAATGTGAAATTTTATCTCTTGTAGTCTCTTAACTGAAGGAGTGTCAAGGAACTCAAATATTTGGAAGAACTGGACTCAAAATATCCTTGTAACGTTCCTAGAATGAAAAATACATTGAATAAAAATAACAGATACAAATAAGTCTGCAGTTCACATAGGTAATTAAATTACTTCTATTAAAAAGTACATAAGCTGTATAGTTTTATTGGTTTTGTTATCACAGATTCAGGGTTTTTTCTTACTCATCAGGCTGTTAGAAAAACTGTGGGCACCCAGACAGAAGCCACACGCAAGCATGTGGATGTTCAGGTCTCGGGCTGCGGAGAGTGCCGGAGCCTGGCACTTGCAATGGAGGGTAGCGGAGACGACACCTGTGTCAGGTGTGACCAGGTGAATGATCTGCTCAGCCTGGTGGCTGAGTTGAAGAATGAAATAGAAAGGCTGAGGAGTATCAGGGAGTCTTGAGAGAGAGAGATTGGTGGAGCCACTTCCTGAATTGTAAGCAGCAAGCTCCACAAGAAGCAGAAAATCCCCTCCCCTCAGGCAAAAGGAGGGAACCTAAAGGATGGGGAGGAGTGGAAACAGGTGCCTGCCAGGAGAGGAAGGAAAATCCCTGCCCAGCCTCCCTCCCCTCCCTGGTTGCCCTTGCAAAATAGGTCTGGGGCTCTAGACAGTGAGAGGCAGGCAAAGGAAGAGACAGGTGGAGGTTCATCCATAGGGCTGTAAAGGGTGAATCAGTCAGCCACACGCATTAGGACTTCTTTGTCCAAGAAAAAAAAGGAGGGTAATTGTTGTAGGAGACTCCCTTCTGAGGGGAACAGAGGGCCCTATCTGCTGCCTGGATCCAACCCACAGGGAGGTCTTCTGCCTCCCTGGGGCCTGGGTTAAGGATATTATTAAGAAGCTTCCAGGTCTGGTTAAACCCTCTGATTATTACCCGCTTCTGGTTATGCAGATCGGTAATGATGAGATAGCAGAGAGATGGCCAGAAGCAATCAAAGGGGACTTTAGGGCACTGGGAGTGATTCTTGAAGGATCAGGTGCACAGGTTGTGTTTGC